ATATTTGGATAGCTCTCACTAGGACATAAGCAGAGCCACTAGATTCAAGTTCTCAACAACGGTGAATCAGCCCGAAGGAAGCACAACCCTAAAATCAATACTTTTTATATTACTTGCCCCTACATTAGTGCATTTCAGTTACAAAAGGAAAGTGTAAGCACAAGGAGAATCCAATGTCTTAAGTTTTTTGTGCTTGTGCCCAAGCCTGAGTCACAATTTAGAGATGTCAAAGTTGGGTATTATTGCAGTTGTGCTTGCTCAACTGGTGTGAACAAGCCCTTACTCCTTGTCCCCATGAAAAGAAAATTGAACCAGTAACACAACAATTTGAATGTCTTTTAGGAGAAACATTTTTTTCATTCAATTGTTTGCGTAACACAGCCAGTTAACCTTTTCTTTTTTTTATAAAAAAAGACAAATATAAAATAAAGGCACATTCTGATTACCTTCCATGCACATCCAAACTGAACCACCTTTCAAATACAGTCCTGTACCTGCCTCCAAAACACAACTTTGCTAATAACAATCATACATGGAGTACGTGATTTCACATCCCTTTTAATTTAACACCTCTTGCTATAAAACTCAAATGCAGTGAAAGTGAACTGTTCTTAAAAAAATCCCACACTCTTTTGAGTCACTCTTTTTGCAAGAGTTTTTCTAAGACAGAGATCAATGCCTGACTTTGCTGTGCCATTAACATCTGCATGTCTTGATTATGTTGTTGCTGTTGAGCTTGCTGTTGAGCTTGCTGTTGAGCTTGCTGTTGAGCTTTTTTTTTCAGATCAGGAGAAAAACTTCCCTCACGACTTCAAAATATCCTAGAGTTTCCATCAGCTTACATGTACTGGCGCCTAGATTTGCTAAAGAGTGCATCTGTAATTTCAAAGCATCCCACCAGAAGGTGAAAAATTGGTTTACCTTATCTTAAGCCCTTAAAATAAAAAATGTTCTATGAATGCTAATGTGTTCTAACAAAGTTTTTGTCATTATTCAGGAGCAAATTTCAAGAGAGAAATACTGCCTATCATCATAAAGCTCTGAAAGAGGGGCAAACTCAACAACCAAGTCAAGTGATTTCACTCAGCTGTAAGCTTAAGCTTAAATCGACAGAAAATGAACAAAATCGAAAGAAAATGTCAAAAGA